CTAGTTGTAACCTCCTATATAAGGGAGCCCCTGGAGGCACCTGTGTTCAAATACATGAATAAAAACATCAACTCCCAAAGACAGAGACTTTAACTCAAAAAAAAAATATATATATAAGTGACTTTGAAATAAGTTCTTTAAGAGTAACTTTAGAATAAAATGTATTAAATAAGATGTATAGAGAGTTGAGAGCTGGATGATAAAGAATTTTATAAATTGAATTATTTTTTTGATAAGTATTAAGATTAAGTAATTTGCTAAAGATGATTTGATTAGTAAATGTTTGAATAATTTGGTTGAACAAAAGTGCATTAGCACAAGTATATCAATAGAAATAAATATTAGTTAGGTTATAATAAAAGTAATTAGTATCTAAATATTGGTTTGAATAAATAATATGAAATAGTTGGTATGTTAGTAACTCATTAAGAAGAATTTTGATTTTAAAGAATTTTAGTTGATTAAGTCTAAAATTAATAATTTTGTATGAGAGTTTTTGATTATAATTAAAATAAAACTAAATAAATTTCCAGTTAATATCTTGATTGAAGCATGACTACTCATTATTATATTTTTAAGATATCCATATAGTCAATATGTGAATTTTACATATTTGCTTAATAAAATATCTTATAAGAAATTCTATAAATGTTGTTCTTATTAAAGAATATGATAAGGATTATAAAGATTTGTGTAATTAAATAAAAGAAGTAGTGATGATGGATGTTATTTAACAAGAGAGTCTGTTTGCTTATTAAGATTATTATCTAAATAAATTTACATTTTGTAAAAGATAATTTATAATTTGTATAATTTAATAATATTAAAAAAATATGCCAAATAGGTTATAAGTTGAATTTAAATAACTTATTAAGGTGATTTAAATAAAATTGAAAGTTTTTAAATTTAGAAATTACTAATTGAGAATTAGTAAAAATATTGATTACTGAATTATATGAAACTGTTAAGATTGCAATAATAATTGAAAAAAACTTAACTTTATATGATGAAAGCCAGAATTGTATTTTAGTAGAAAAAAGTTAATAATTTGATTATTATTATTAATTTGGATCCAACCAATACCCATTGTGTATTAATTAGTACCAATGTTAATTACTAAGTCATCAGTATAAAAGAATAGTTGTTAGTAAGAATAGTTAAGTTAAGAGATAGATATAAATTTGTTAATAGTTTTATTTGAAATAAAGATTTTAGAAATGATTGAATTAGTAATAGGAATTATAGGTAGAGAAGGAATATAGGTTGGATGTTTAATAGCTGTAGAGCAAATAAAATCCAAGTAGTTTGTATTAAGGTTGAAATATATATTTTAATAAAAAACTTATATTAACAAATTTTGTAATGTTTTTTGATTATTTTTATATATTTATAATCTAATTTATATTGAATATAATACTTTTTTGATTACTATTATCTAATATATATAATATTTATCAATTTATTTAAATAATATATTTTAATAATTAATACATTTTTTAAGATAACTTTTAAAGTTTTAAAACATTTTTGATATATTTAATATTATAATGTTTGTAATAATATGTTTTTATTTTATTTAAATATTAATGACTAAGTCAAATTCAAGCCAAAAATTACTTTTATCATAATATTATTGAATAATAAATTTACAATAGTATAATTTTTATCTTTTATATAATGATAGTATTTTAAACTATTTATATTACATCATAATTACCATTAATTACTAATACTAAATTGGTTAATTATTATATAATTTATTATAGTTCTTGTAATGACAACTTACCATTAATAAATTACTGGTAACTTAACATGATAAGTTACCATGATAAGTTACCATGATAAGTTACTATTAACAACCCTGCCATGAGCGTTATTCCGAATTTTTGCCCGAATTATGCTTAATTTAGGTCAAAATTCGGAATTACACCCCTGCGCGTTATTACGCAAAAAATACTATATAAAACTTTTTACTAAAATGTATCTATGATGTTTTTACATCTATAAATACATTATCCCAAAAACTGGATAATTAATCGGTGTAATGTATTCTAATTAAAAATGGTTTATGCACTTAATTCTAACATAAATACTGAAAATTTTTGCGGTAAAATTTTATATACAAAATTTATAAAAAAAAGAGATCATAATACATAATAAAAACATAGGTGTCAACCACTATAGGTGTGTTTTATGATAAATGATTTTACAATACCAGGCAATATCACCCAAGATGAAAAAGAAAAGAAAAATTATCGTAAATTCTAGAAATAGTGAGCATGGGAATCTTGGTCCGAATTAAGCTTAATTCGGCCAAAATTCGAAATAACTCCCATGCCCGCTATTTCGGTAATTCTTTGGTACATAGCCGGATTAAATTTTAAGAAAAACATTTTAAGTGTATTTACTATGTGGGAGATTTTTTTAAAAAATTTAACATTAAAAGCCGGATCTTTTAAAAATTTTGTTATGAGAACTTATATACTAATGTGTTTAAATACTATATAATTTAATTAATTTAATACGTATAAACTTGCTTTGATAATTATTCGAATTTTCTCATTTTTTTAAAAAAAGTCTATGTTCGATGAATTGTTATTCTCTTTTTTTTTTAAAAAAAAAATCAAGTATTAAAGTTCTTTATTAATTAACTCAAATCTGGTTAAACCAAAGTGTGATGTTTTTTCTTATCAATTTCTTTTTTTTTTTTTTAACAATAACGATAATCAGAATTTTAAGCATAAAAGAGAGGGCGAATCAGGATATCTCATGATCCTGTGATCAGAATTGGATAAGAAAAATCGGATCGTTCGATTCTGATCACGCCATCGCGATTCGTCATAATATCTTTAGCTATAATATTATACGTATATATTTCAGTATTTTAACAGAAAAATATCAATATCTCATGACTCTGTAATCCAAATTAAGCGATGCTTATACCATTAGATTCCTCTCATTGAGAGGAATCGAATGGTACAAATTTCGTCCGATTCCGATCACAGGATAACATGAAAAAAATCCCGATTCGCCTCAAGTTAAAAATTTCTTGGATTTTTTTTTTCAAAATCGAACGATATCAATCAATGCATTATGTAATACGAATGAAAATATTTATCTTAGCCATAATACCCTTTTCTCTTTTATGAATTGTTTGGAGAATTGAACGAATCCTTAAAGTTAATTATTATAATCATCTGCAGGGTGTTATAAAAAAAAGAAATATGGTGTTACCATTACTACCTGAATTTTCCAAAAAAAACTTTTCTTATCAAAGTTTTTTCATCCATATGTCTGAATTGACATATAAGTAATTTAAGGATTACAAGGAACCTAGTTTGTAAATGATACCGATACGTACCGATACATATGAACCTTACAAAGAAATTTATTAATCTCACTCAGATCTATGTAAGCCTTGGTCCCGGCGCATTATTTACATACGTACTGTTACGTACGTACTGTTACGTACGTACTGTTACGTACGTATATACATAAGAAGTATCAGATGATGCATGTGAAACATCTATGATTATTTGCCAAGATTATACTTTTTGTGTAGGGATGTTAAGTAGTCTGACTACTTTAGTTTTTACAGTACAATTTATATGTAACCAACTAGTTTGACTAGGTTGGTTACATATAAATTGTTGCTGTAAAAATTAAAGTAGTCAGACTACTTTACATCCCTACTTTTTATGAAGTAACGATTACATAACGATAAATGATAGCTTAAATCGGGAACCATGATTTATTTATGTCATAAAACCTTTCTATTACTACAGATAAATAAATAAATAATAAATATAAAAAAAAATTTGCAGCCTTTTAAAATTCAATTAACCAGTCCAATTTAAATACCATTTAGTAAAAGGACAATTATAAATACTACGTATACACATTCAAATTTAAGAATGAGAAAAATAAAATGAATAATAAATGACGATTAATAAAAAGGCAAATGAGCAATGATGGCAATTTTTGCATTAGATACTCTTAATTATATTAAAAGATCACCTGCTAAAGTTAGTACCTATTATTAATAACGTTAAAAGATTGTTTTAATTAAACGACATATACATTTTTATTCCTATTCCTATTCTATGACAGTATGATATCTTTAGGACAATGCATTCATTCATTTATTAATCGGGACCAGCTAGTCAGTTATTTTCGGAGTTTATATTGGTCACCATATTTGGTCACAAATAAACATACTGATGTAGGAACTTTCCGGACTACTGCTACGGCTATTTCACTACCAACATAAAAAAATTTTCAATGTGACCCAACATTAGAAATCTATTAGTCCGTATAAAAAAAAAAATAACAATAATAAAATACAACGCGCGCGTGAAACCATCAAGAGTACAAATTTACATAAATGATTCAGTTAAGGCGTTTCTTTATAAATAAGCCATCTCTGTCGTCTTGAGTTATTCATTCTTAATTTCATTAAGAATACGTGATGATAGAAAGCACATACATTGATTCAAAAAAAAAAAAAAACTTGCGAAAAAACAATTAATATTTTAAAAAAATTATATGATTCGATCATGATATCAATTAAAGATCTTAAATTATTAAGCGATATAAGATTTCGTCTCTTAATATTAATATTTCTAGCATTAACACTCATAACGATATTTTCAGCGACGAATTCTGACTTTAATGATGTGCTAATTGAAGTAAATCTTATATTACCTGAAAGTCCTCCTGATGAAGGTAATGGAAAAATTTATATTGGCGATGATGATGACAATGGTATAAATTACTTTTTCGACGAAATGACCAACATGAAGGATGAAAGACCTCCAGATGGATACGTGGTAGATTTGAATCGAATTGATGAACATTGTGAACCAGTTAATTATAACAAATCAAAACTTAAACGTTATCCAGTGCAAGATTGTCTAGACTATCTTGACAAAAAACAATTTGAATATTTTATAAAACCAGAATCACCAAAATATTGTAATGAAAGTGATCCAATGTTGTTTCATGCTTTTTGGAGTGGAAACATAACTGACAAATTATCTTTATTTATAAAATCATTTTTATATACTCAACCATTAAAGTGCTCACTTTTATATGTTTGGGTTGATTCTGTAAAAGAAGATATTCGATCAAATCAACATGTTTTACCATTACTTCGATTCTTTGAAAAAAATATTGTGTTTAAAAGGTGGATAACAGAAGAACAATTTGGTTATGATCCTTTATTCAATGGTTGGGAACGTTTATTACAAGAGAATCGAAAAATTGTTGGATTTAGTGATATAGTCAGATTCGCTTTGCTTCATCGATATGGTGGAATATATTTTGATGTCGATGCTCTTTTACTTCGAGACATGAGTCCATTCTATAATTTAGATATTGACTTTGCTTATCGATGGAGTATATGGAAACATTATAATACGGCTATATTACGACTTCGTCCTAATAGTACTGTGGGAAGATTAATTATCGATGCTGCAATGAACAATGAGATTGACTTTCATCCAATGTCTATTAGAACCTATCTCTCATCAAACAAGTCAATAGAATTAATAATGAGAGAAGATTTGAACAAACATCTTTACATGATGCCTGTAATTTTATTTGATCCTTTATGGTTGAAAGCTGATTTACATTATCGAAAAATTCCACTGAAACCAAACTTATATCGCTGGAATGATGCATTTGATTCAAAACTTGTAGATAATGAATTTCCTGGATTTAAGTTTGATAATTTAACCAATCCATTAAAATTCAGACATAAGAATAACTTTTTTAGAGGTGCTTTTACATATCATTGGCATAATCAGTGGAAAAAGAAAATCCATCCCACGTCTTGGCTAGGTGTAATGCGAAGTGCTTATGATGCATTTCTAGAGGGCAGGGATTCCAATCTATACGGCGAATATTTACCATTATAAAATTACAAAATTAATTTTTTATTTATTTATGATTTATTGCAACAAAAAAAAAATTATTTATATATGAACTTTATTATATGATTATATAACGATAAAAAATGCTACGTATAATTAAAGTTGTGGATCGTAGCTTAAAATAAAAACATTTACATAATTAGGTTAGTTTTGAGGTTGAGTTTTGTGGTAAAATTACTTTTTTTGATTAATGTCCTAACAAAACAAGTTTAGACCATGGAATAGGTTTAGACATTTGTTTTTTTCGTTTACCTTTGTAAAACTTCATAATCGATTGATAGGTCAATAAATGTAACAGTAGTAACAGTAATGATAACGGTAAATGGTAACTACACGCGATTTTAAATGAATTTATTTGTATGACAGTATCTTTTATTTCTTTGCAAAATTTTTGTACGTACGACTACATGAGGCTGTAAAACTGAATAAAAATAGTAATTTTGATAACCATGACATAGGTAGTAATGGTTGTGGTTAGGCTTTGATGATAGGCTTTTTTTTAGGCGTCGGCGATCTTATGACAAAATTATGATATATATCGATCTTAATAACTCCTAACGTTAAAAATTTTTTTTATACAAAAAAAAAAAAATCAATTTTTCTATTATTCAATTTAAACAAATAAGATTTATTTCTTATAAAATGAAGAATCCTAAAGAAATGACTGATGATGAGCTTTATCATTCACTCAAAGCTCGTAAAATTCGTATGGGTGTAGCTCGAGAAATTTCTTCCACTTATTCTCCAAATCGTGTAATTTTAACAACTCTTGTTAGTCCGGTTCATGCGGCGGCTCAAGTTAGTGTTAACGTCAGTGGTTCGGTTGCTCATCACTATACCAAATCAGAAATGGATGACGTAGTCAAGGAAATGCATGACAGAGGTCTTGATTCAGAAAAAGTTAATAATGATCCTGAAACTGAAATTTTTATAAATAAATGGGTTAAGCTTTGGAAATGTATGAAACTCCTTGGTACCATCATAGCAATCGATTTATCTGAAGTTCATGATATGATCGAAGTTGTAAGCGATTTACATGAAGCTTTAGTCGACCTAAGTGATGTTATTAATGATATTAGTGAATTATGTCTCGTTACAGTGGATAATCCTGATGATATAAAAGATGGTGTTAATCAGGCTTCAATCGTTGTAGATAATTTTAAGCTTGGTGTTGATCCACTTTCTGATTTAACTACTAAAGGTGTCGAAGGATTTAAAGATATTACCTCATCAATCGATCTTTCCATTCTTACAAATAGATTCACTTTATTTGTTAATGGAAGATTGAAATTTGATGCTGAAACTATAATTAATGTCCTTGACTTGGCGGATGCAACTAAAGATCTCGCTACTGATGATAAAAAAGATTCTATGGATGAAAACTCTACAAACAATGCTGTAAAAGCAAGCATCAAAGTTAATCTTTCTAAACTTCGTGAAATTATTGAAAATGAAATTGCTAAATTTACCACAAAAATATCTGACATTTCTTTAAAATCTGAAAATATCGAAATTTTAACTACCGATGTGACGAAAATCGATGATGAGAAAGTGAAAAATGAAAAATCTGAATTTATTCTTGAGACTCACATTAAAAATATTACTGCTGCGACTTCATCTCTTAATATTTCTAACATTAGTAGTCAAATTTCCCAATATACTACTACTATATCATCAAATAAACTTTCAGATCAAAAGCAATAAAATCTAATGCTGTAATGTTATACACATCCTTTTTTATTATTTTAATAAATATATATATATTATTAATCTATACATATATACTTTGGATCGGATGTTTGGATAAATATTTGTAACGGTAACATATCGATATCAAATAAAATGTAAGATAAAATGTTCTTCCGGCATGTACTCCCGACATGGATTTACTTTTAATACAATCCAAAAAAGTAAATTTGATTTTATAAATAAACAAAGTGCATAAAACACGAATTTAGGGTTGGAACGTTAACATTAGAGGCTATAGCG